GGGTGTAGCTAGGAGTAGCTACTCCTCATCATCATCCTCGTCCATCCTCGAGTAGCCACCTCCATGGCTAGAGCCAACACCTCCATGGCTCGTACCAACGCCACCATAACCCGAACCCCCTGCAAAGTAGTTAGGATCCACATTCCCCCCAATCCCACCAAAAGGAGCATCGGCCCTATAACCATGGACCGAAGAATAGTCCACATAACTACCATAGGCACCGGGGGTCGAATACCCTCCTTGGGGGTATTGAAACCAGTCGGGAACAAGAGCCTCTGGGGGGGGGATAGCCCCTCGGCATGCATAGTCATTGTACATGGGGTATAAACCCCTCCCTAGGTTTCTCTCCACATACCCAACCCTTCTATCTAGAAAACCTACTCTAGTGTCCAGATTATGCACCAAACCCTCTACTCTTCCCTGTCCCCTCTCAATCCTATCAAGTTGGCTCCTAAAAGCCAAAAAGTCATATGGGGCATGAGGGTCAATGTTATAATCAACGGAAGAGGTATGATGTCATGTGTGTAAGGTTGGGGTGATGGTTGGAATTGAGGTTGTGGGTGGGGTGGTGTATGGTGAGCCGCTTGAGCCTCCACTTGACCATCTAAGTCGAATGTGTAGGAAGGCTTAACCTTCTCAAATTTAGTCAAGGTGGGGTTAGGTAGCTTAAAGGCTTGGTCTCTCCTATCCGACTCTCGGTGGATTGTCCACCATGTCTCACCACCCATGGGTAGGATCCAGTTAAGGCCTCCTAGGTAAGCAAGATCCATAAGGGTAGAACCCTCTACTTTCCTATGGCCGGTCGGGGTGAAACCTAGATGTTTGACTGCAATGTGGGTAACCAACCCACCAAAATAGATAGGTGCCCTAGACCTACCCCCCTCGGCCGCATTATCCGCCCTTTTGAAGTGTTGGGCTATCCTATGCGATATGTTCAATTTTTTGGTGCTAGGAATCATATTAGGAGGCCAACAAATTTTAGCTCATCCCTCCTAACATTAGCCGGTTCATGCCTCCCAAAGATGGTGAGGCCAACAAACTGTTGCCAAAATTTTGGCACGGGATGTTGAATCCAAGTTCCCTTGGCATGTTGGAGGTTAGTTAAACCCTCCCCTGTGACTTATTTATAGACCACGGTAATATGGTCTTGGCAAGGTTCAATGGATTTATCTGATTTTAGCTCAAACAATTTACCAAATTCTTTCAAAGTCATTCGCACATCATTGTTAAGCGATCGGAATAAAACATGAGTAATCAAAGCATTAGATTTAATCACATTAAAACTAGAAATGAATTTCAAAGTCAAATACTCATAAGTGTCATAATGCATTTGAAAAAAGCCACTCATTCCAATACCTTTGAACAATTTTTCTACCGGTTTATCAATTCCCAATCTAGACAAATGTAGGATGATGTACAAAGCGAGTAGAAATTACCTGCCTCTGAATGAGGTTAAGCATCCTAGCCCGTTATTCGGTTGAGGTGATCACCACCTCGATCCACCCCGAAATTTGGAGTTCTGGGTCAACCATTGGTTGTTGTTGTTGCCTCGAACTTTCACCCCTTTGTTGCCTAGATCTCTTGGAAGCCATTGGAGTAGGAATTTGATGAATTTGAAGCTTTCTCTCTCTTAGGGTTTTCACAAATATTGAGAGAAAGTGGGAAAAATTGTATGGAGAATGTAGAGGAAGGTGAGAAGATGAAGATTATGTGAAAATTTATGGGTTTTAATGGGAGAATTTGAGGGGATCTTGAAGAGAAAGTGAGTTTGAAGGTATGAAAATGGAGTTTAGAGAGAGAAAGAGTGAATGAAGAAGATAAAAAAAGGAGGAAAAGAAGGTAAGGGAGGAGAAAAAAAGTTAAGTAGGACGGCCTAAATTAGGCGCGCCCGATCGGGCGAATTACGTGATTCTGGAAGTTGCAATTGCGCGCCCGATTGGGCGCGAACTTGAAGTAACTTTCGCCATCCAATTCGCCCGATCCGGGCAAGGTTCGCCCGACATATCTTTTTCCTTAACTCGATTTCTCAAAAAATGCGCCCGATCAGGCGAAAACTCCGAAATTTCTTCACTTGCGCGCCCGATCGGGCGAATTTTTACTCAATTTTGGCCTTTACTTATGCGCCTGATCGGGCAAGCTTCGCCCGATCGGGCCCTTGCCCAGCTTAGAGTACATAATTTTTCTACTTTTTTCTCTTTAAATCTCTTTACTTGTTGATTCAATACCTGTACAAAAACACTTTGGAAAGGTAAAATTGCACTCTCCTCACCTCTCTAAAAAAATAAAGGGAAATTCTCTTTGGTAGACCTATATTATTTAAAATTCTCAGTGGTAAAATTAAAAAAAAGTAAAAATTCTTGGTAGACTATGTTTTAAAAAGTTAAGTCAATGGTAACCTTAATCCATGTAATAAGCCATTGGTTAACCATGGTTAATCATTATAATAAAAAAAAACCTGGAAGTTCCTAAAATACCCCCATTTAATTACCCCCAACCACAAATGTCAAATCATTTTGTTTCCTTGACTTCAAACGATCAGCCTTCATTCTTCATTACTTGCGCGACATTGATGAACGTTCTGAAGAAAATCGAAGGTTGAGTCTCAATTTTTTGAGCTTTAAAAGTTTGGGCTTTATAAAACAATTGTTCTGGGTATTTTATGTAATTAGTAGTTGGGATTAAACACATTTTGATGGGAAATTGAGGAAGGTTTGAGGGTTTTTGTTCGTGAATTACGTGGAGTGGAATTTGGTTTGTGCAAGACGATCTACATCAAAGTTCGAATTTTTTCAGAGAATCTCACCATTTATCCTTAATTGAAGCAAGGTATGTGTTTTTTTTTTTGCATATAAGGTTTATTCATGCTCTGTTTTTTTGGTTAATGGGGTTATATATATGAAATGTGGTTGATGGTATTGGTTTAATTTGTTTGCCTAGGGTTAAAGTGAACTTTTTTGTTTGTTTAGGGTTAAATTATGTGGTAATATGTTGTATTGGTATGTGATTTTGGTCAGATTCTTATACAATTGTTTTTTGGATGTTGTTTGGTTTGATGATGCAGAATGGTTGATAAAATTGTACTACAATTTCAGTACAGAGGTATTGATGTGTCTGTTGTGGTTGATGATGTTGATAAGGTTAATTTGATAGACCTCATTGTAGAGTACTAGGAAATTGCTAAGGAGAAAAATATAGAAACACCAGACCACCCCACCTTTCAGTATGTGTTCAAAATGAAGCATGTATCTCTACTTAGTGATGCTGATTTGATGAAGATGTTTAGTAATTTACCTGAAAAAACTGAGATATACATATGGGTTGGGTGTGGTGCTAAAGACAGTAAAGTTGTTGCAGCTGCAAGAGCTTTAATGAGTGGAAAGCAAAAAGTGAGTGAACCTGTTGCTAATCCAGTAGTTGAACCTAAAGATAACCTAGTAGTTGATCCAGTAGCTAAAGTAGTAGCTGATCCTAGGAAAAAACTCAAACCTAGTAAGAATAAGCAACCTGAGAATGTGGAAGCTGTAGTAGTAAGCAAGGCTGACTTTGATAGACATGTAAAGAGTCTAGGACAGTCAAAGAAGGTGAGTGAACCTGTGAGTGAACCTGTGACTTTAAATTATGACCCAGATCAAACTTGGCCTGAGTTAGAAGCTGAATTGGAAGCAAACCCTATACCTAAGGGGAGAGGGAGGGGGAAAGGGAATGACAGAGTGAGAAGGAGAGCATCTGAGAGAGGGAGAGGCAAAGGGAGGAGTAGAGGGAGAGGCAGAGGGAGAGGGAGAGGGAAAGGTAATGCCATGGAGGATTGGTTCAATATTTCCCCTACACCATGGCCAACTGAGCAAGAAATTCAACCCCAACAAAATGACCAAACTGATGAACCAAATGAAAATCAATACCAACTGCCTCATGATATCATCACACAAAATACCCAAGCCCAACCATCTACACAGTCCCTGATAGCTCCTTTGCAAAACATTGGTGAGTTTGGACCTAGGGGTAACTTAGGTGAGAATCAATCATCAAATTCATCTAGAGTGTCTGCCTTTTTTCAAAAGAGAGTGCCTAGAACAACTGCTAAGAGAAAAGGGATTGTGATTAGCATAAGTACAAGTGGGGGGGATAGTGAACAACAAAATGGGGATCATAATAGGAGTAGGGAGGTTACTGTTAGCTTAGGTGAAGAAAATGATACTGCTAGTCTGGCTTTAGTTGGTGAGGAGGGTGACAGTGAAGATGATGGGTACAATCCTAGTAGAGGGGATTTTGGTGAAGACATGAGTGATGACTCAGAGAATGTGAGCCTAGACGATGAAGATGACTTGCCTAGGGATGAATATGGGCCAATGATTGAAGATAGTTATGATCCCTTTGAGGATGAAGAATTTGAGTGTGAGAATGAACAGGACAACTATTTAACAAAGCTATATAATAATGGAGAGGTGTATAAGGATGAGGGATTTGGGAAAATAGTTCTCAAGGAATGGCAGTTGTTCATGGACAAGCAACACCTAAGGGATGTTGTGAGGGATTACTGCATCCAGTGTGGATTTGCAGTTGTTTTTGAGTGGGCTAGCAACAAGAGATATTGTTGTAGATGCTCTGATGTGAACTGTGGCCGGAGATTAGCTGCTTCTGTCCTTCCAGATGGGTGCACTTGGGCAATCAAGAGTATACAAAACCCAGAACATACATGTGCAGGACTGGAGACAAGGAACAGTATGGTGAATAACAAGTGGGCTATGAGAGTTTTACTTGAAGATATAAGGGCAAACAATGATGTTCCTGCCAAGGCTTTGAATGAGTTGCTGTGGAAAAGGTATGGAGTGACAATGGCACAAAGCACACTGTATAGGGTAAGGACAAAGGCCTTACTTGAAATTCATGGTGGGCATGATGTCTCTTACAAGGCACCGCCTATGTACTGTGATGTAATCAAGAAGCTTAATCAAGGTTCTTTAGCAAACTGTGCATGAAAGAGTGTAGGTCCTGATAGACCAATGGTGTTCAGTAGTATATTCATTGCCTTTAAGGCTTCAATAGATGGGTTAAATGCTGGCTGCAGAAGCTTAATTGGAGTGGATGGAGCTCATCTCAAGGGCAATTATGGTGGGGTGTTATTGTCTGCAATTGCCATTGATGGAAATAATGAGTTATTTCCTGTAGCATGGGCAATAGTGGGAGCTGAAGATGCTGACAGCTGGAAGTTCTTTCTATATCACTTGAAGAGTGCTCTAGAACCAAGTGGCAGAGGTGATAATTGGTGCATAATTAGTGACAGACAAAAGGTATTCATCCTAATCCCCTAGTTTGGCTTTAATTTCTCTATACTTGGTATATAATGTGAACACTAATTACTTTGTTTGTCTTTAAAGGGTATTGATCCTGCCATTAGTGACATATGGCCCAAAGTAGGCAGAAGATACTGCTGCAAGCACTTGGTCAAGAACTTCAAGAAGAAATTTCCTGGTTTGCTGATGTTCCAATTATTTTGGAAGGCTGCTGGAGCATTCAATCCATTCACCTTTAAGAAGGCAATGAAAGCATTGCAGAAGGCAAATCCATTAGCACTTGTTTGGCTGGCAGAGCTTGGACCACAATCAAGATGGTCAAAGCATGCTTTCAATCCAGAAGTCAAGTGTGATACAAATAAGTCAAACTTTGTAGAAAGCTTTAATTCTACCCTAGGCATTGATAGATGCAGACCAGTCCTGACTCTGTTAGAAGGTATTCTCACCTTACCTTACTTATTTGATGTTTAGTGAATTCAATATCAGTAATTGCTTATCTATTCATCCTTGTTGCTGTTTCAGGTATTAGAAGAGTGACAAAGGTGAGAATGGCCACCAGAAGGGAGGCATGTGAGAACTGGAGGGATGATGTGTGTCCTAATATCATGAAAAGGATGCATGTTATTAGCCATGAATTAAGGACATGCAAGAGTTTGAAGTTTGGAGATGGTGAATTTGAAATACTTGATGGAAGATCTATGCTTCCAGTGAACCTAAGAGAGAAGACATGTGTATGTAATGCTTGGAAACTTATTAGATTGCCTTGTAAACATGCCATGAGAGCCATTTTGCACTCAAATGAAGACCCTAGGTTCTACATAAGTGAGTGGTATTCTGTCACAAGGTATAAATTGGCTTATGCCAACTCTATCAAGGCCATACCAGATGTGGATCAGTGGCCTAACAGTCCTTATCCAGAGATTGGCCCACCAACTATGAAAAGAGGAATAGGGAGACCTGCAAGGAATAGGAGGAGGGAAGAGGGCGAGCAAGCCAAAGGGAAGAGGTCCAGAACTGTCAAGTGCAGCAAATGCCAACAGTTTGGCCATAATGCACAAACTTGCCAAGGTGGCTTGACTGGTAAACAAAAGGTGGCCCTAGGTGAAAGCTCTGCAAGTCAGACCAACAAAAAACAAACAACAAGGAAGGGAAAAGGGGCATCTATGAGCCAACCTGAACCAACAACAGTGGCATCAGAACCATTGAGAGTTTCACCAAGGAAACAGAGAGCAAAGGGTCCTATCTCAGCATCACAGCCATTAAGAGTCTCACCTAGGTCTAAGAGAGCTAAAGGAGGGGTCTCAGCTTCACAGCCTGCATGATGTTTGTCTTAGGAGTAGATAGATGCAGAAAAGTGCTTTTTTTTTTTGCTTCTTAGTTGACTGTATGTGTCAAACTTGAAGATGAACTGTTCATGATGTCAAATTCTGTTTTTTTTTGGACAAGACATTTAGATTATGGGTTGATGTAATATCAGCATTATTGACTCTTAATGCAGTACCAGTTTCATGTGTCAAAAATGCTTGCAAAAATTGTGTAAAAAATGTGTAAAAAATGCTTGCAAAAATTGACAAAAGTAGTACCAATTTCATTCATCATCATGCATTTAACAAACCAAATTACATCAGTTCCATACCTAATACATAACATCCAACATCAAAATTCTACTTCATACTAATACACCAAAGTCATCACTTACAAACAACAAATAACATAATAAAACACATTATCAAAGCAATCTTCACGATTAGTTTGATGAAATTCATCAAATCATCCAGCTTTGAAGTAACACCAGCAACACCACCTTGTTCAACTTCCAATTCATCACCAACCCTTATTATATCCTCCTCCTTCAACCACGCAAAATAATCGCACCCTCTGCACTTGAAAAAAAGTCTTCTAGGGTTCTTTGCGGTTCCTGAAATCTTCACAGCAGCCACTTGAGGGGGAGAACAGTCGCAGCGCATATGCTTAACCCAAGAAATCCTATCGTCCATGGTGATTGGCTTCAAGGAAGAAGAAGAATGACTGTTCTTCATTGCCTCTTAGACAGAATTTGGGGAAATCGATTTCTAGGGTTCTTACAAAAAGGGGGAAATCGATTTTCATTCATATAAAAAGGGGGAAATCGATTTGGAGGGAAATCAGGTCTGCCATTAGGGTTAAGTTAGTCATTAGATGCTTAGTTAACCACAGTTAAGCTTAAAATGGCTTATTACATGGATTAAGGTTACCATTGACTTAACTTTTTAAAACATAGTCTACCAAGGATATTTACGTTTTTTTAATTTTACCACTGAGAATTTTGAATAATACAGGTCTACCAAAGAGAATTTCCCAAAAATAAAAATAAAGGAAAGGAAAAACTAGTCTAGAAAGCAAGAAATACGGGTTGCCTCCCGCAAAGCGCTGGTTTATCTAGGTCTCGCACGACCCTCTTACCACATTGTATCTCAAGATGAACCGGAACCGATTAGGTGAAGTAGTTCAACCGCACCAATCGTAGCCCCTTCATGATATAGCTTAAGTCGTTGACCAGCATCCTAACATGATACTAGGAATCAAAATAACAACCTAGACATGATTTCTATATCATGATAACAATGTAAACAATTAAAGCACTTACTTGGATGCCTCATATCTCTTTCTAATAACAAAATACACATGTTAGTAACTTCAAGGAAAATATTAAATCAAACAATTAAATTAAATAATTGAAATAGAGATTTGGGACCAAACCCTCAGAAATCAAACCTTTCACGTCTAGGGCGAAGGCAACTTCGAATTATGCTACATGTGTCTAGATCTTGTGAATGCGGAATTTTGTTTGAGAAAAGGCTAGTTTAGAAAAGAGAGAGAGAGAGAGTATCAAGAATTTCTTGATGAGAGTTGGTGAAAATTAGATGGAGAATTGATGAGAAGAATTAATGATTGAAAACGGAGGTTTTAGGAGGCTATTTTTTAAAAAAATCAGCCGGATATAATAAAAAACGAATCAGTGTTTCGAAAAGAATTAAACACGACGCTGTCGCCAACACGCGCCTGTCGCCAGACGCCAGACGTGTCGCCAAACGCCAGGTTTGTCGCCAGGCAACAAACGTGTCGTACGGCGCTGCAATCAATCTTTCCACGCGTTTTTATATTTTGATAAAATTTAAGCGTACGAGAGGGTAAAACTGTAATTTCCTTAAAATACTTCTTTTATTCTAATTAAAACTCTTAAAAGTCAATTTATCAATGCTAATTAAATTAGGATTCAAAAGAACCTTCTAGAAGATTCTAGAAGACTATAATCAATCCTAATTGCATTAGGAATGATAAATCAATAATAGGCCCTCCTCTAGATCATTGGGCCGCATATAAGAATCAAACCGGGCCCAGTTTAGTAATTTGGTCATAACTTCCTCATTATTCATCGGAATTGGGCTTATAATATATCGTTGGAATGCTCTTTTCGAATCGACCCAACTACACCATTATTGGACCCTTGCCATGGACTAAACTAAACTGGATTGGCTGTTTTTATAAAATAGGTTTTCAAAAACAGAGAGAAAGAGAAGAAATAAAAACTAACCGTAACACTAGACTTTCCACACTTTCACTTCATTCGATTATGATTCGACGTGAAAGGTACTCATCACTGGGTTTGGTTTCGTGGAGACAAAAATGGGTGTCTACAATAACATACAATGCTATAGTCTAGTATGATACTTGAATATGAAGAATATGACTACTAGAATACGATGCAACATTGCAGCAGATGGTCAATGACCACTTGATTTGTTCCCAACATAAGGTCATGTAGTGGCCTAGTTGGTGTAGTTACATGTCATTATAATTTGGAGAATAATGCTGAATTATAATTGGTTAAATAATAAAGATCTTGGTTATATGTTGGTGGGGTAATTTGATTTGGTTAATAAATTGTATAAATGTTCACATAGTGAATGGAAAATGCACCTGTAATGGTTCTAAATCTCTAATTAGTTGTTGATGTTGAGACTTGCAAATTGATTATAATATGTTGGAATGTGTTACAAAATCTGGTTGTCTTGCTTAAACTCTATATTCAAATGCATAGTATACATGTAATCTAGCTTGTCTTGCCTAAACTCTAGATTTGATTGCACATTTTAAACGTAATCTGGGTTGTCTTGCCTAAACTCTAGAGGCCCTCATTTTCTTGCATTAGATATTGTTTTAATAATTTAGTATGACAAGTGTCATTTTTTACAATGACCATTTGCTTTTTGATAGTTAATATTTATATTTTCTTTTCTATTCTTAAATTGTAGCTTGTAAGTTATGGATCGTATAGGTTGAATGTGAAGTGGAGGTAAGGGAAGGACTGAAGAAGTTATGTACGAAGGAGCACCTACTTCCATGTGGAATATACATACGGCCATCATGTGATACATAGGAATGACAGGTTTCAGAATTGTTTGGACGTCTTTGGTACACCTGTAAGGAAAGGTTGGAGTGTTGATAATGGAAGAAAGGAAGCAGGAGGAGGTTGTGAACAGTCCGAAAGCAGGTATGGTATTCTCAAGCTAGGTTGAGGCTGATAAATACTTTAGGCAGTATGGGAAGTGTAGGGAATATTTCAAGCATTACCCCAAACTTGAACCCCATTGTGATCATACACTTAAGCATGGTGGCGTCCAAAGGGAAGAAAGCTAGAGCAAAAGAGTCGCCAACAAGTTTTAGGAACTTGTAAACCGTTCACAGGGTGAAGGTTACACCCCTTAACGATCCAGGAGATCATTGACTCCAATAGGTCTGGAACCATGATTGGAAGTTCGGGGATGAAGGTACGAATCCAATCTAAAAGAGAAAGAACTTGCCCTATAAAATAAGCCTCTACTTTATTTTTCTCGTATTCATGTGCGCTTTCTGACTAACATGCAATCAATAGGTTTACCCTAAACCCGTTTAATCTATGTTTGTTGAATTTTAATGCACAAATAAATCTATTATTGGTGATCACTTGAGTTATAATCAAATTAACCCTAAACAAGATTATTAATTATCTTATTAAGTGTGATTACAAGTACCAATTCCCTTTAAACATGCATAAAAGGCGTGATCAAGCAATAACAATAAATATAAACAAGCAACAAAATAATAATCATGATAATCATAATCAAAATAATCATGTTAAAGCATAATATATAATAGCAAGATCCTAGGCATGATATTAACAAGATTAATAACAAACCCTAACATGTCACTAAACAATAAAAATCAAAGATTTAGCCCTAACATGATACTAACATGCTATTAAGAAAGAAAATAGGAAGCATCACATAAATCATAATTGATATAAGGAACTTATTGTTGTCACCCTAAACATGATACTACGAAAAGCATCCTAACATGATACTAGGAATCAAAATAACAATCTAAACATGATTTCTATATCATAATATCAATTAAATAATTAAATCACTTACTTGGATGCCATATATCTCTTTTTAATAACAAAACTAGCATAGTTCCCGTGCGATGCACGGTTTACAAATCAACATATTAATTTATAATTTAACTTAATGATTAATAACGGAATCACTAAAATTAACAAATTAAACATTCATCGTTGTATATACACACAAATAAAGACTCGCAATAATGATCAATGGATAAATTAGGAAATGACAATGTAAATATTGTATATACAAACAAACATTCATCATTGTAGTAATACTTTACGATCCCTTAAAAAATAAAATAAATTTTTAAGTTATTCTCATTTCTAATTTATTTTTAATTTTTCTAAATTGTGGGTTTCAATCCAGTGAAAAATGCAAACTAATAATAAAATTCATGATAAAATATTTTTTTTTCTATGAATAAAGACTTTATGTAGGTTTTCCTTACAACAAAAAATTTAAGTTTGAAACTAACTCTATTTTTTTTATTAGTTGCAACTAATAAGAAATTTTTTATATCCCATAAATAATGCACCCTTGTTACAACTTGCAAGCAAAAGAAACATGGGTAATATTAAAAACCAAATATGTTGAACATTAGTATGATTCATATAAATTTTAGAATATGTTCACTCAAATACCTAGCCAACCCTAGTACATACTACTCATCATGTTTTTTTCAATTAAATTTCTATTTTTAAACCCCGCATAATACCCGTTTTGCATTACCTCGAAAATGACAATGAACATACACACAAATATAGACTCACATAATGACCAAGGGATTAAGAAATGACAATGCAAATAATATTTTATATTCTCGTCAATTATAAAATAAAATTTTACGTTATTCTTATTTCTAATTTACTTTTATTTTTTCCTAATTGTAGGTT